GTTGGGAGATAGGTTTGAGGTCCAGCTTAGCTCTGAGATTTTGGAAATAGAATGGATTTCTTCAATTGCTGGCATTGTAAGTTGCTGAGTACTGGCTTACTTTTAATTGACCAGAATGTTGGGAGATAGGTTTGAGGTCCAGCTTAGCTCTGAGATTTTGGAAATAGAATGGATTTCTTCAATTGCTGGCATTGTAAGTTGCTGAGTACTGGTTTTGTAGCAGGTAATGTGTTGTGCTGCTGACCCAAGGTCAGCAGTTTGACTCCACCAGTCAAACTGCAGGTAAAGATAAAGCTTCCCATTCTCTTAAAGATTTGTAGCCTTGGATACTGTAAAAGGCAATTCTACTCTGACCTACAGAGTTGCTATGAGTCAGAATTGACTTAGTGGCTCTGAGTTTTATTATAAAGTGCCAACAAGTTGGTTCTTAAACTCTCATTGCCATTCAGTCGATGCTGACTGTTAGTGACCATATATAGAGGGTTTCTGAAGCTGTAAATCTTTATCAGAGCAGACAGCCTCACTAACCCTGTGGTTAGCTTTCTACTGCTACCCTCACATCACTACCAGGGCAGACGCATATAACTCACTCCAAAACAAAACACTGCCAGCGAGTCTATTCTGACCCACAGCCACCATTCTCAGGTGGGTTAGAACCACCTCTTTGCCTTTCTAAGATTTTAAATATTGTGGGTAGCAGCCCCATGCTTAATGCTGTGCTGCTAATCCTCCTCACAAACGCATGTAAACAGAAAAAAACACCGGCCCCAACTGCTCCGTTTTCTTGAGTTTTGAGACGCTTCAATCCATAGTTGTGGACTCAATATTTTTAGTGTCTTCCAACCCAAGGTCTCGTTTTTTAACCAGATATTGGTCCTTATTGTGTTATGTCCCATTGGGTTTTTTATTGACCACATTTTGGAAATAGATCTCCAAGTCCTTAGTTGTAGTCTGGTCCTGTCTACCTTGAATGGACTCTGATAGTATTTGAATTACTGGGGTGACCTAGCTTCTTTAGCACATCGCCACAGGTGAGCTTCTGAAGCATTTACAGTAAACTGTTAGATAGGTGGTGCTAGTTGGTTTTAGGGCATCTTAATTTAAAGTAATATTAGGTTATTGTCATTATAGCTGTAATTAGAAAAATATGATCCTGGATATAAGCAAATATTTGGTAGTATTAGCCACGCTTTCTGCTCTGATACTGATCATAATTTGGGGTGCGGATCCATCTTGTGGCAGGAATGACTAACTCTAGGTCATAGGTCGTCCAATTTCTATTTGTTTTACTGTCCCCTTTTCACGAAAAGGCATAGTATTCTCACACAATTAAAAGCCTTTGTACTAAAGCCTATATTCCAGGATAAAGTGTAGGTACCTGCTTTTGCAGCTCTCATGGATTGGTCCAGCATTCCCAGGAGGCAGTCAGTAAGTACCCATTTTGGGAAACATTGCTGTAGGACAGCAGTTCTCAACCCGTGGGTCACGACCCCTTTGGGGGTGGAATGACCCTTTCACAGGAGTTGCCTAATTCATAACACCAAAATTGCAGTTATGAAGTAGCAACGGTAATAATTTTATGGTTGGGGGTCACTACAACATGAGGAACTTTATTAAAGGTCGTGGCATTAGGAAGGTTGAGAACCACTGCTCTAGGAGATAATTTGCTATAGTTTAAATCTCCTCCTAAAAGATAGATAAATCAGTACCCTGACTCATTTTGAATTGACCAAAAGCTACTTTTCTTGAAGAATCCTCTGTCCTGATCAAGGGTGGGAAACTGTCCTGCCAAGAGTCATTTGGATATTTATAACAACACTTGAAAGGGGTACTCAGCAGACATTTAATCCACTCACCCCTAATGTGGTGGCAGGAACCGCTCTTTGGCAAAACATGCTGTGTTAGCTGGTATTGATGGTTTTGCAGACTTCCTACACTCGAGGACCGAATGTTCCTCTCCCATTGTTTCCAGCTTTCCATCCATAATGTCTACAGTGAGGGTGACACTGTCTGAAAACCTAAACACCTCTTAATTTCTCTCCCTTAGGTTTATCGAACTAATCAGTGTGCTGGGGAGTTTGTGATTACTTTTCCAAGAGCCTATCACAGCGGTTTTAACCAGGGCTTTAATTTTGCTGAGGCGGTTAACTTCTGCACCGTTGATTGGGTATGCTATTACAATGTATCAGCCTTTCCAAGTGTATTGCCTGCTTGCTTGTTTTTCTGCGGAAATGACGTACTCTGTGTGTATGTAGCACTAAAATGACTGGTGTTTCACATTGTTACCAGTCCACAATGGAGCACCACATTCTAAATCAAGAATGTACTTTTCTATGGGCACTAAATTCTGCTTTCAATTTTAGATTTTCATTGCAAACTTTTTTGAAGAAAGGAGTTTGATATATACAAGGGGTTAACACCCCCCCCCCCCAAAAAAAAAAAAAACCCACAAAAAAACCCAACAAAGCAACACACACAAACAAAACCGGAATTGTACTGAGCAGAGCTATTGTAGTACCCATTTTTCCCTCTAGCCTAGCTAGGCTAGTATCCAGCAACTCCCTCTGAGTTAGTGCACCCAGTGGCCTTGCCTGGGAAGGTTCTCTCTGGTCACAGTTTTTTTCCCACAGTTAATTTTTTAAAAAGCAGTTTCCGTCAAATCTCGTGTTTTGGGATGGCCAATTTAAGAGAACAGCATGAGGCTGTGAAATTTTGTTTTCTGCTCAGGAAAAATGCCGCAGAAACTGTTGTCATGTTGAACACAGTTTACAAGGACAGCACGATGGGAACAACCCGAGTGTAGGAGTGGTTTTCTCTTTTCAAAAAATATGAAATGTCGATTGAAGACAAACCTCGTTTTGGACATCTGTCAACTTCCCAAATGGACGAACTTGTAGTGCATTTGGAGTTTATTCCAGCAGGTCAGATTGTCAACCACATTTTTATTAGAGGTTCTGAGAAGATAGTGTGTGACAAAAAGGCCTGGCCTGTGGCAGACGGGGACTGGTTTCACCACCATGACAACGCACCACTTGCTCATGCAGCCATCGCAGTGCTCCAGTTTTTGCCCAAAACCCCCCAGCTCGCCTCTCTTGCCCCATGCTCCTGACTCAGTGCAACTTCTTTTTGTTCCTGTGAATGAAGAGGGACATGAAAGGACAGCAATTTATTAATGTAGAAGAGGTGAAGAAGAAAAAAAACATCTAACAGATGGGTTTGAAAAATGTTTCCAAGAATGGAATCGCAGATATAACAAATGTATTAAGTGTAACGGAGAGTACTTTGAAGGTGATAAGGTTGTTTTATATATAAAAAAAAAAAAAACAGCATTGAAAACATTTCCGGTTTTTTTTGGGGGGGGGGGTACTTCACGTATTCAGACTCAAGCTCACTATTTTACTGATAACATATGGTTGGTTTAGTATCACATGTACTAGAACTAAACCATTCTTTTGAGGTACATGTGTAAATTTATATTTTTCAATTACTGCCTACATTTTTGTGGCTATCATTCTATCAGTCCATTGTTAATATATTACTGCTGGGTCTTTGAAATGCAGAGACAAATACGGCCTGACGCCTGACCTAGGAATCTTCGGGTCTGGTTGTAGGGTTGAATTATGAGATGTGATATTTGCTACTTTGATGATAATAGTAGTCAGAAATCTCGGGAACTAGAAAGGAGGAGACTCAAGTGATTTGTTCCCCTCTCTTGACGCAGCTGCCACTAGGCCGCCAGTGCGTGGAGCATTACCGTCTGCTGCACCGCTACTGCGTGTTCTCCCATGATGAGATGATCTGCAAAATGGCGTCCAAGGCTGATGTGCTTGACGTTGTCGTGGCTTCCACTGTCCAGAAAGACATGGCCATTATGATCGAGGATGAAAGGGCATTAAGGGAGACTGTCCGCAAATTGGTAAGGTGTCTGGAATCCAAATTATATGCTACAAGGTATCAATTTGGTAAAGTTTTTCTTAGCTTTAGTAACATTTTTAGAAGACTCTTTTGTTTATGGAATCTAATAGGCCGTTCTTCTAGATACACAATAGCATCTCATTGTGGTTTTAATTTCTATTTCTCTAGTGACTAATGATTTATTGACTATATGTTTGTTTACCACTCATCTGTTTTCTTGGATGAAGTGTCCATATCGTTCACCTGCTCTTTCCTATTGAGTTGTTCTTAGAATTCTGCATATGTTCCATATACCAATCCTCTTGCTAGTTTTCTGCAAATAATTACCTTCCATTCCGCGGTGTAGCTTCATTTTTCTAGCATTGACTTCCAAGAGTAGGATTCCTTTTTTTTTATTTCAATAAAGTCCATTCTTTTGTGGAAAATGTGGTCTGAGACGGTCTCACCTGTACCAAAGCACAAAGCTTTTCTCCTGGAGACTCTTAGAGAGTCATGGGTTCAGGTGAAACTTACTTTAAGTAAATGTTATAGATGGTACAAAGCTTACGTCATAGTTAACTTTTAAATATATGGATGTCTGCTTGTTCCAGTACCATGTCTTGTAAAGACTTTCCCCTCTCCATTGAGTTGCCTGGTGTTTTTTAAATTGGTTGCATGGGTCTTAGTTTTGTACCCTTAATTGGTCTATCCTTTTACTAGTCTTTTGTGGTCTTCTTGTATAAGTCTTGTGAGCCCTCCAACATTCCTTGTTTTTGTTTCTTTTATGACTACTTAATTCCTTTGCTTTTCAAAATAAATTTTAGAATTAGATTGATTTCTTTTTAAACAACCTCCCCTCACCCAACACACCCGCAGTAAAGCTTGTTGGATATCTTCACAACATTGAATCTAGTCTGTAAAGTGATAACCATACTTACAGAGTCCTCTTGATTTAGACCATCAGTAATTTGTAGGCTTCATTGGATCTGTAGCTATCTTTTGGTTCTTGCTTTGTAAAAGTACCCAGCAGCTTTTATTATAGCTGTTGTTAAAGCTCCTTTAAATAATTACTTGCAAATAGACCCACATTTATTTTCTTGTAAAAAGATGTCCCTTTGAGTAGAATTCCAGGCTGTGGGCTCATTACAGCTCTTCACCAAGTTCCCATCCACCTTACTCTGGCGTACGTTAGAGTGCCCGAAAGCAGTGCCCAGCAATCAGAGTTAGCACTGTTTGGGAGCATCAGGAAAGAATTAGTTTTCCCAGGTAGGGAAAATGGAACAAATGGACATATTTCACTCTTAAATAACATCCTTGAGCTAATTCTTAATCCTACTTTAAAGGGAAATTTCAACCACACCAAAAAATGACTTAAAAGTAAGGTTCTATCTTGTCTAACAGGAGAGAATGTCAGAAAGGTGTCCCTTCTAGATAAACGAGATAGACTGGCTTGCCTCTGTGTGCTAGGTGATTCTTCTGTTTTGTAATTGTGCACTTCTTTTATTGGGTGCTGGTGTTGGAGGTTGATCTGCTCTGTATTTGTGTTGGGCTCTGGTTGGCGTTATTATCCTTTGGAGGTCTCTGAGGTGTACTTTCTTCTAGGGCGTAATTGATTCAGAGAGAATGGATTTTGAGCTATTGCCAGATGATGAGCGTCAGTGTATAAAATGCAAAACGACATGCTTCATGTCCGCCATCTCCTGTTCCTGTAAACCCAGCTCTCTTGTTTGCCTGCATCATGTAAAGGAATTGTGTCCCTGTTCTCCTTATAAATACAAGCTGCGGTGAGTAAGAAGGGTGAAATCCTCTATGAAAAACACCAAATCCTTCATAATACAAGATCAGTGGCACCCCTGTTTCTGGGCTGAAATGTTGAGCGTGGATCTTCCCCAAACCCACACGCCTCTAAGTTTCATTGGCTGTTCTGTTTCCAGGTATAGATACACTCTGGACGATCTCTACCCCATGATGAATGCACTGAAGCTTCGAGCAGAATCTTATAATGAGTGGGCCTTGAATGTGAATGAAGCTCTGGAGGCAAAGATGAACAAGAAGAAAAGTAGGTGGTATTCTACTGTAATGTGACGCCATACTTGGCACATTTGGTCTAATTGCCATGCGACCAACCTAGCTTTGTTTACCAACAGAAAGATTGCTTGAAGCAGCCCAGCCCAGCCGCATCCTGTGTTAACCCCTAACCCCTCTTGTAGACACAGAATATTCCTGGAGAAAATGTAGGTGGACGCAGCAGACACCTTTCCCTCAAAGTCAAAGATCATGGATGTAGGAGAGATCACATTAAGAAACCGAACCAACTATACACATTTCTGTCTCAGAAGAGGAAGGCACTTCATTCTTTGGAAAAGCCCTTTTGGCTTGGTTCTGAGCAGATGTGACGACCCAGGCAGAAGGATGGTAGAGCTGGTGTCTGCGGAACAGCGCTTCAGCGCTTGATTGTCCCAGTGAAAGCCGAGGCTGCTGTCACTTCTCAGCGCTTTCCTTTCGTAGTCTCGCAGCGCCGCTCCCCCTTTTGAAAGGGACACGCCCTGCCTCAGCATGCCAGCCGCAGAGAGAAGGCCAGAAGAGACAGGCCCAGCAACAGTTACAGATGTTTTTGTTGCTGTTTTCACAAACCAGTTATTTTCTATTTTCTGTATAGAATAGTATTTCAGGTCTGAACATTTTTCAATTGAAAGCTTATTCCTGCTAGACAAAAACAAAACAAAACAAAACAAAAAAAACCCCAAAAAACCCCACCAAACATGTTAAATATTTATAGCTAACAATTAAAAAGCAAATTACTCCACTGTGTTTTACCCTGGCAGCAATAAAGCATGCGCACAGAAGAGATTTTTTCCCCCCTTTCTCCTCTGTTTCTAGGTCTGGTAAGCTTTAAGGCTTTAATCGAAGAATCTGAAATGAAGAAATTCCCAGACAATGATCTGTTGCGTCACCTGCGCTTAGTCACACAGGACGCAGAGAAGTGTGCTTCTGTGGCTCAGCAGCTGCTTAATGGCAAGAGACAAACCAGGTACGATGTTTGCTGCTACTCTTGCTCCCGCCAGCGTCCGAACCAGGGAGTGGTGAATGCTCTCATAAGGCTGCCCTGTTGGTCTTTGTCTTCATAGATACCGGTCAGGTGGAGGGAAATCCCCAAATCAGCTGACTGTGAATGAGCTCCGACAGTTTGTGACACAGTTGCATGCTCTTCCGTGTGTCCTCAGCCAGACGCCATTGCTGAAGGTAACCCTCGTGGGTATGTGGGAGAGGGCGGTGGTGATCCAGTGCTGTGTAAACACCCTTAGCTGTCAGGATTATACTATTTCCTTTAGTGGTTAATATGTACATTTGCTTTCAAATGTTTTAAATAACATAACCAGCACAGTGTCTTAAAAATAATAGGCTAGCAGAGGAGAGTGTGAGCTTGAAATTTTTTCATGGAAAGTGGCTGCTGGTTAGTTCTTACTGTTGGTGTATAATGAATGAATTGTAGTTGCTTGTTCCGCTGGCAGCTTACCTCATTTGCCCAGGTTACCCACACACGAGTGAGGTGAGAGGGGACCACACTGAGTGTGCGTTGAAGCCTCCAAGTGGGAAAGGAGCCGATAGCCGAGTCGTCTTCTGATGTGACAACCTGTTTTATAGGATCTCTTGCACCGTGTAGAAGATTTCCAACAGCACAGCCAGAAACTGCTTTCTGAGGAAATGCCCAGTGCTGCCGAGTTGCAGGACTTGCTAGACGTCAGTTTTGAGTTTGACGTTGAACTCCCCCAGCTCGCTGAGATGCGTATCCGCCTGGAGCAGGCCCGTTGGCTGGAAGAGGTGCAGCAAGCTTGCTTAGACCCCAACTCCCTCACTTTAGATGATATGAGACGTCTCATAGACCTTGGGGTGGGGCTGGCTCCCTATGCAGTGGTGGAGAAAGCTATGGCCCGGCTGCAAGAACTGCTCACAGTGTCGGAACACTGGGATGACAAAGCCAAGAGTCTTCTCAAGGCCCGGTAAGAAAAAACCCACACCTCTGAGCGCAGAACACACATTTTCAGTAAGTGTTAGTTGCCGTTCCACGCGCCCATGTAGACATAGTTCAGTTAAAAGGTGATGTTTTACAGCGTGGTTAAATATGTGTTTCCTCCTTACTTCACTGGTTGAGATGAATGAATTTTTAAAATGTTTAATTAAAAGATCATTTTATTGGGGACTCTTACAACTCTTGTTACAGTCCCTACATCAATTGCATCAGGCATCTTTGTACATATGTTCCCTCCATTCTTTTCTAGACATTCACTTTTCTATTGAGCTCTTGGTATTAGCTCCTTCTTGAAAATTTTTAAAAATAGTTTTATCTGTATATACACTTCATATATCATAAAATGTAATTGTTCAGTAGTATTAAGGTTTGTGCAGTCACCACCACAGCTAATTTCTTAACATTTTTTATTATACTCTCATTGTTAGTGCTCTATTTCCCCCTGCCAGCCCCTAGGCCAGTGGTTCTTAACCTTCCAAATGCCGCAATCCTTTAATACAGTTCTTCGTGCTGTGGTGACCCCCAACCATAAAATTATTTTCGTTGTTACTTCATAACTGTAATTTTGCTGCTGTTACGAATCGGGCGACCCCAGTGAAAGGGTCATTCAACCCTCAGAGTTGCAACTCACAGGTTGAGAACCGCTGACCCAGGCAATATCAATCCAGTTAATGTCTCTATAGATCATCCTGACCTGGAGTTTACATACAGAAAATCACACAAAACACAAAATATACATAGAAAAATTCCCATCAAGAACCAGACAAAACAAAAACCTGTATCAAGAAGAAAGCAGAAAATATTAAATGAGACAAGGGAGATAAAATTACAAGGCATTACATTTTAATCTAATTACACCTGCCACCATAGACTTTATAATACTGTTTGTTGGATAGCAAAGCTGCGTCCCTTGAATGGTCAGAGGGGATTCACAAGAGACTTAATCCAAATGTGCACCCTGCAAATAGGTTTTGGGCTTCCATTGTCCATAGCCTTCTGAAAACCAGGTGTTCACAATTTCAACTTGATACTATTCATGTTACTCGCAATCCTTTGATCACACAGTCTGGTGTGCTGCCGTGGGGACTTAGTGGATGTTGTCTGTATTTTTGAGAGATTTGGTTGGACATATAGGCCAGGCATCTGAGGGGCAGAAGCGAATATAACACTGCCTGCCGATGTCCTGCCCCTGCCAGATAGATCTTAAATGGGTTCAGCTGACACACAAAAAGCATTATCCAGGTTGTAGGTGGCTTTGTAATCTTTTTTGTTTTTTAAAATCATTTTATTAGGGGCTCATACAACTCTTATCACAATCCACACATCAATTGTGTAAAGCACATTTGTACATTCATTACCCTCATCATTCTCAAAACATTTGCTCTCCACTTAAACCCCTGGCATCAGCTCTTCATTTTTCCCCTCCTTCCCCGCTCCCCCCTCCCTCATGAACTCTTGGTAATTTATAAATTATTATTTTGTCACATCTTGCCCTGTCCGATGTCTCCCTTCACCCACTTTTCTGTTGTCCGTCCCCCAGGGAGGAGGTCACATGTAGATCCCTGTAGTCAGTTCCCCCTTTCCAACCCACCCTCCTTCCACCCTCCCAGTATCGCCACTCACACCACTGATCCTGAAGGGATCATCCACCCTGGATTCCCTGTGTTTCCAGTTCCTATCTGTATCAGTATACATCCTCTGGTCTAGTTTGTTTTGTAATCTTAAGGAGCAGAGGTGCCCATTAAATTTTGGTTTTCTTCGTGAAACGGATGAAATGAGTTTTGACAGTGTATCTAGCCAAAACATTAGGAGAATTAGCACCGTGTTTACCTTCTGCAAGTGTATGTTTGTGATAGGTTATATCAACTTAAATGCTTTACTAGGTCATATGCTTTCTTAATCTTTGTTACTTTGAAAGTCTTAATGCAGCCATTTGAAATGAGTTAATTGGACAATCTAGTAGTCTGTGCCATTTGAAAAAAAAATGTATTTTCCATACAGAATTTCCTTTGAAGTGATTGCCTCCCCCTGGGCCCCTGGTAACCACAGACATAAAATGCAAAGTAATGTTTCTGGTTTTATGTACACAGACCACGGCACTCAATGAACAGCCTTGCTGCAGCTGTCAAGGAGATTGAGGAGATCCCTGCCTATCTGCCCAATGGGGTGGCTCTAAAGGACTCCGTCCAGAGAGCCCAAGACTGGCTTCAGGACGTAGAAGCCCTCCAGGTTGGTGTCTCAACCCCTGTCCTGAATGCTGTATGTGCACCTGTTGTTGTGTGAGGTGCCAGTGAGCTGGTCGTGTGACATCCCCACTGTTGTTCATTGTTCTTGTTGGAGCCCACTGTTGGCTACCATAGTGCCACTCCAGCTGGTGGAGGGCCTTCCTCCTTTTTTTTTTTTAACTGCTCCTGTTAAAAAGCTAAGATGTTGGATCTCAGTCTACAGATTTACTCTCTTTGAACTGTCCAAATCGAGACTTCTGTCCAGTTTTACTTAGATGTACCTTCTAGCTATGGTAGATAATTGAACCACAATTTTCTGGAAGCTGGGGAGAAAAGTTGAAGGTTGGATTGAGGATGGAAGAAAGCTAAAAATTAGGTGAGAAGGTGTAGTTTCTAATACTTGAATAATAGGATTTCCTAGTGGAGATTTGTTGGCTTGCCAAGCACACGTTAGTGTTGAGATGTCAAGAATAGCTCAGTTCCATGACCATGGCCAACCCGGAAATATCTGTTGCCTTCAAGTCAATTTTGACTCATTGCAACTCTATAGGACAGAGTCATATCTTGCCAAAATTATTGGCCATCACAGGCGCTGAGAGCCTCCCCTTTCTGTGTAGGAGTAGCTGGTGGCTTTGAACAACTGGCCTTGCAATTAGCAGCCCAACAGCTAAGCCATTGCACTCCCAGGGCTCCACAGCCCTGGCAAAGAAGCAGCAACAGCAAAATACGTTGCGACTCGTCACTATCTTTGTCTGGGTTAGATGTTGTACTCACTTGCCTCCTCTCAGTGACAAAATAAATCTACTTGTGTCATTATTAAAATACAAACTGAATTCATTGTATGGTTTCCCCCAGTTTTAAGCTAAGTAATTTAATCTGAGAAGGGCTAGGAGAGCACTTTCCCATTTTCTTCTAATCATTGTAACCCTTGAAGTCTTGTGGATCTTGTGAGATAAAAGATGTTTAGATTATCTAAGGGGTTCCATTAAATGTTATGTTTTGTTGAACCCATCAGCTGCTGTTGAGATATTTGAGATATTTGTGTGTGCCATTTTTTGTGGTCTTCATTGGCCAGTTGTTTAATGTTTGCAAGAAAACACCTGGCCAGCTGTTCCAGTTAATAGGGAAGAGAAGACACTGGTTCGAGGAGAGGTGAGAGAGCAGGTGCCTGTCAGCCACTGATGCAACTATAGCAGTCAGTGTTATTCGGTGCTGAAGGTGTTCCCTGTGGTCACAGTCTAGAGGGGACATGACTCCAGTGAAAAGAGGCTAACCTGTGAAATCAGGAAAGGGGCATGATAATAATTAGTGTATTTGCTCCTTTTCCCTTATATAATGTATATGCTATTTAGTACTTAGCCCTATGATAGTAGAGGGCAAAAGCAAATTTTAATTCCTGAAATATAGCCCGGCCTTTACTTAACATTTTGTATATAAGGGCTAATAGGGAGGTGTAACTAACAGAAACAAAATTCTGATCTGGCAGATTCTTTCTTTTTAAATGTTATTCCGTATTCCTGTTTTGTACATAGAATATTTCTAAATCATACTGCTGGAATTACATGTGTAAGGCATCCTTTCATTTTAAGGGTTATGTCCTAACAATTTTAATTGTATAGGGAAAAATATCAAAGGTAGTGGGCTTTCAAGCTTCCCAGGCTCTTCCCAAAAATACTCCTGCCGGCGTGTCTGTTCATCCAGTGGAGTGAGTTATCCTCCATTCCCCACTTTCTTTCATGACCCAGTTACCCTGTGGTTTGGCGTCTACGTACCGCATTTGCTCAATTGCTTCCTTTAGTGCAGCCGTTCGCAGCCCATGGGTCGAGACCCCTGTGGGCATCAAACAACCCTTTCGCAGGGTTCGCCTGTTACATAGCAGTAGCAAAATTATGGTTATGAAGTAGCAACGAAAATAATTTAATGGTGGGGGGGGGGGTGTCACCACCACATGAGGAACTGTATTAAAGGGTCGCGGCATTAGGAAGGTTGAGAACCAGTGCTTTCGTGTACTCTATTACCTGTATCTCCTATGAATTGGAAGTTGTGAAGCCTTGATGGATATGTTTTGGCCTGCTATACTTGGATCTCTTCAGTTGCACCCACCATTTTATTAAAGCAACACCCGTGGCTCCCCCACTTGCCGCCATACCCCAATGCTGTTGTCCTTGAAGTATGGCCAGCCCATTGATGCTCAGATTGGAATCTCAGATAAACAGCATTAATCAGCACAGCTGGTTTGTTTGAGATGAAATTGTCTCCTGGAGACATACTTGTTAGTGATGGAAATTCGCAGATAAGAGACTATTTCCTGAAACTGAATGTTTGAAGATGGAGCCCAGGAGAGTGTGTTTAAGTAAATTCGGCAGATGATCCTCGTACATTAAAGTTTGAGAATAACACTTCAATTCATATTCAAGTTTTCTGAATAATTTATGCTGTACAAGTTGTTGTAACCCATCAATGGAGAATGGGATGGAATAAAAGGCTGTTTTGTTTCTTTTTATAAAAGTCTTGAGTTACCTATAAGTTTTCTGTGTAAAGTTTTTTAAATTATCCACAGGGTAATGACGTGAGGCTGTGAATTATGAGCCTTATAATCTTGTTCTTATTCCTGTCCTTAGAGCTGAGCATATGCCCGCCTTTCTAAGTATTTGTTGTGGGAATGATCCCCTGTCAACGCACTAGCACCACCACTAATTGGTCAACTACTAGGCCCTGTTGATTTCTGTGACTTTTAACTTATTGAGATCTCGAAATGAAGCAGGCCCAATTTGAATTATGTCTCCCCACACCCCTAAATCGTTGTACTTTTCTCCATGTATTTTAAGGCTGGAGGACGTGTGCCAGTGTTAGACACACTCGTAGAACTGGTCACCCGAGGTCGATCCATCCCGGTACATCTGAATTCTTTGCCGAGACTGGAGTCACTAGTCACCGAGGTTCAGGCTTGGAAAGAATGTGCTGCTAATACATTCTTGACCGAGAATTCACCTTACTCTCTCTTAGAGGTAAGTCTATAACCAGTGCGCCCAAGTGTGATATCACGGATTGATCTTCTCTGTTCTGTGAGTCATTTAAGTAGAGCCAGGGGTGTCTTCTAAGCATCTGGTGAAATGACCTTTTTAAATGCCTTTTGGGTGTGTTTAGGGTAGCAGCCATGGTGTCAAGATGACTGTGTCTCCCATTGTGTGGAAGGAGTCCCGGCAGTATTGAGACAGACCTCGATCTTGCTTCATTCACCAGCTGGAGTCGATGCATGAACCCGCCCAACTCACATAGATGGCATTAGCCTTCTGCTTTCTGTTTCCTACTATTAGTTGTGCTTTGTCATTGGAATTGGCATAATGTACCATTAGTTACTGAATTTTACATCTGGGTTCAAAGCCAATCTTGTGTAAGTTTCCCGCTCTCTCCTAGGAGGTCTGCCCCGAAGGTTGCGTGGCTCCCAATGAGAACATGACAGAGACACGTACTTCTTCCCACATTTGATCAGTGTCTGTGCTTGTCCCACATTAGGTCCTGTGCCCTCGATGTGATATTGGCCCTTCGGGGTTGAAGAGGAAGCAGAGAAAGTTAAAGGAGCCCCTGCCAAGTGGGAAGAAGAGAAGCCCCAAATTAGAGAGTCTGAGTGACCTGGAAAGAGCTTTGACCGAGAGCAAAGAGACCGCTTCCGCTGTACGTTGTGGGGACTTTTCTCTTTGTTTTTCTTGCTCTGCGGGGAAAGGGTTTCTGGCCCTTCCCTATCTGCCAGGAATATTCGGAAGGCAACTCGAGGAATAGCTTTAGAGGCAGTCTAATTTCTGGACACTTAAGTGGAAAAGCATTGTACAGAGGTGCAGTGCAGTGAGTCCAGAGGACGGCCTTTTGTCCATCTTGTTGCGCAGGCAGTCCTCCCAGTGCCTATGCCTGACTCAGGAGATCCAGACTCAAAGAGAGGGCGAAACTGCATCCCGACCTGTTGGTTTACAATGAGAAATATACTGAAACATAGCCCGGATATGCTTGCTTGAGCCACATCAACATTTAGTAACCATGTCAGTGTAAACATGTGATCACGTGCAGGAAGCTGAATAGGCAGGATCTACCTGTGGTGTAGCGAACACCTGGCATTAGCATAAAAGAGAACAGCTGTGGGTTCCGGCTCCTTTTAATGGCTTGAAGCATCGTTCAGTGTTCAGAGTAGCTGCTCCTGCTACTTGGGTGACGGCAACCTGGAGCCAGGGAACTGTCCTCCCCCATGTTCCTTAGCTCCCAGCCCCTCCAGTGAGTGGTTTGGGCGCGTCTGGATTTGCCCTTTGTTAGGACATGTTTGTGCATTCAGTAAGGATCTGGGCAAATTCTGCTTGAGTACCATTCTGGTCTCCATTCTTATGTCTGTGGTTCCTTTTTGTGAAAACTTAGAAGGAACGTACATTCCTCCTCGCCTGAAGTGCCCGGGATTTGGCCCACAGTTGCTGAGCTATGAGTTTCTGCCCACCCACAGACCCCTGGTTTGAAAACTGCGCTGCTTGTTGATTTCATGGTAGAACTTTGAAAGGTCAGCAGATTGCTCTCTGTTTCAGGCACACATACACCTCACCTCAACACACCCCCATTGCCTGCAACATTATATTTTCTCTAAAAATAAGTGGCTATGTGTGTGTTTGTGTACTGCAAGTTTGTAACATTGTTTACCTCTAGATCTTTTTGTTTCTTTCCTAATCCCTCGATTACAGATTTTGCTTTGTAACCCCAACCATAGGGACAATGGGGATTCATTCTGGTCTTTGCAGTCAGTCAGAGGCCTCGCCTGGTGAAGCATGGTAGGCAGATGTGACCCATAACATTTTAAGGAAGTGGTTGTCGAATTTGGAAAAAAGGACTAGGGTCCACAGTGGTACCAGACAAAGACTTGAGTGGCCAACCTTTTCTGGAGGAAGCCTGCCTGGTAAAACTGGACATTCAGTTTGTTAGGTGTTAGTGGCCAACTCTGACTCTGATTTAAATGTGCTACCTTTGTAGTTTGCTTCTGGAGTAGCTGGGCTCCTTCACAGATCAGACACCTGGCTTTAATTATGTGAAAAAGGGTTTCATTTATGGACAGCCTGCCAACTATAGAATCCTGCACTGTCTTGTGACTTGGCTCTCTTTAAAGAGGATAGGCATTACAATTTGAGTTTATTACAACTTTCTGCCCCAAAGCAACTTTATATGGATTTTACTTGCTCTTTGCTTTTGCCCAGTAATCTTGTTGTTGGAGTGTATATAGTAATAAGTAATGGATGGTGAGGTGTTTCAATTAATTTTTTAAGAAGGTTTATTGTCAGTTGGGTGAAGGTTACAAAGCAGATCAGTGTTGTATGCAACAGCCATAAATTCACTGGTATTTTCTTTCCTGTCACTGACTGCCACCTCCTGCCATGTAACATCACTTACCCACCTTTTGTGTGTCCTGTCTCCGTACCTTCTCTGACCCTCTGAACTTTGTCTTTGCATAAATGCTGCCCGTCTGATCTCGAGCGGCTGACTACCAAATGACTATGTGAGCGTGCAGGTGGTTTTCTACCAGTGCTGCGTGTGTTCAGCACACACAGAAAGCCCTGTTGTTGGCCGATATCTAGGAAGGGCACAAGAGTTAATGGCACTGAGCAACAAACGGAGACCCTCTGGGGTGGTTCCATGTAGAGCAGTGGTATCAACTTGTGGGTCAAGACCCCTTTGCAGGGTGGGGGTTGTCAAAGGACCCTTTCACAGGGGTTGCCTCATTCATAATGGTAGCAAAATGACAGTGATGAAGTGGCAAAGAAAATAATGTTATGGTTGGGGGTCGCCACCACATGAGGAACTGTATTATAGGGTTGTGGTGTTAGGAGGGTTGAGAACCATTGATACAGAATGTGAGCAGCCCTTTATCTCAAGAGTGACAGATAGCAGGCAAAGAAGCAGTGCAGTGTGTGTTAATTGCTCCCACTGTGGAGTTAACTGTGTACTGGGTACTGTGTACTGGGTATACCGGGCTCCGCATTCACTATCAGTGTTCCTTGAGTTGGGCACCGTTACTATTCCCGTGTTTCCCCCGTGGAAGTTGAGCCACAGTGGGGCATGCCGCCCATATTTGCATTGCTTAGTGTGCAGCAGGACAAAAAGGAGGACATGGCTCATGTACTCTGAGAGACAGTTCTCTGAACTGGCCTTGTTTCCTGTGACAGTGTCCTTGATTTGTCACTCCTTTTCAGATGGCAACGCTTGGCGAGGCTCGTCTACGGGAAATGGAAGCCCTGCAGTCTCTCAGACAAGCCAATGAAGGGAAATTGCTATCGCCTGCCCAAGATGTGGAGATGAAAGTCTGCCTGTGTCAGAAGGCCCCAGCTGCCCCCATGATCCAATGTGAACTCTGCAGGGATGCTTTCCACACCACCTGTGTGGCTGTACCCACTATTTCCCAAGGCTCCCAAGTCTGGCTTTGTCCCCACTGTCGGAGGTCAGAGAAACCTCCACTGGAGAAAATCCTGCCTCTGCTGGCCTCCCTGCAGCGCATCCGAGTTCGCCTCCCTGAGGGAGATGCACTTCGATATATGATCGAAAGAACCGTGAACTGGCAGCACAGAGCCCAGCAACTGCTTTCGTCAGGGAATCTAAAGTTTGTACGGGATCGAGTGGGGTCAGGACTGTTATATAGCAGATGGCAAGCCTCAGCAGGACAGGTGTCAGAGACAAACAAGGTGAGTCAGGCCTCTGCTTGGCCGCTGTGGGATGGGCTTGGTGTAGCCCACAAGACACTAAGCCCATTCTGTTGCCTTGGCGATCGCGTCACTGTTAGCCGTGCTCACTTTATCACTCGCTCCCCACTTTATCACTCCCACTCCAAGGGTCATGTGTATCTACTTTGTGGGTTTTTTTGGGGACGGGGGTGGAGCTCTTAGTAGCCAGAAGTTGCCTTTTAGGGCCCCCTGTTGTAGCAAACAGGTGTTCATCTTTCATGGCTTTGAAATGTGTCTGAGTGCTAGGCTAACGTTAGTGGGCTTTGATTCTCTTTAAAAGTTTTATGTGCTGTCTGGTAGGATTTGGTAGTTTATTTTTCAAGTCTTGGGACTGGAGGAAAGCTTTTTTGTGTGTAAATGAATGCTAATTGCTCCTTCGCTTTATGTCATTTTAGCGTACAAAAGTTCCGTTAAGGGCATTGTACTCTCAGATATGTACTCTCAGATAGCATGGAAACCTGTGCACATAATTTTTTTATTTATGTGTTGCTATTTATATACTTAACATGTATGCATACTTACTTTTTAAAAATATTTGGCCATGATCATAAAGCTTCTACCTTCTGTCTCTGACTGAAGTCACTGAATGAAAAGGGAATCTTCTGGCCTTGGGTGCCCTGTTGCTCTTGGAGGGCGAAGGTATTTCGCAGGGGTTTATGCCCTCTGTGTGTGGCCTTAGGGTAAAACTGTGATTCTTACCACCCGGTCTTTGCAAAACCAGCCACACTCTGACTGCCACTGGGTTGGGCGGGCCGGCCTTTCTGTCACCTATAGAAGGTGGCTGCTGGGAAAGTATGTAAAGGTGGCAGTCGGACCCTTCGATATGGCCGAGCTGATGGATGACTTGGGAATCCAGCACAGGTGTCTCTACTATAGATGTCACAGCTCCGTTATGTTAGACCAACACCCACACGAGGTTTTGGCGGTTTGAATGTTCAACAAACTAAAGGTAAAGACAAAAAAATTATCTGGTCTTTGCCGTCTCTCCTGCCCTCTGGCTTCTGAACTATAGTGCCTGACACAAAGCAGATGATAAATTTTTGTTGAATTGATGAGTTATGCTGTTTGGTCAGCTTAGAGCTGTATTTTTTACCTAGGGTGTATTAGGAATTTACCGTTATTAATAAAGAGAAAGGGTTTACTTTTGAATTGAGCTTTACTGTGAATTTGAAGGTTTACCCAGCAGAGCACCGCTCTACATTCCCCTCAACGTCCCATCCCCTTCTCTACTTCCTTCCCGGGTTTCCCGGTTTCCTGCCTCTTTCTTGCCCAATGGAGGTGCTGCCATTTTGATGTTAAATGGTCTATTATTCCGACGCTGGGGTGAGTTCAATTCCGGACCTGAAGAATTGACTTAGCACCATAGTCTTAGGGGTCCCACTGGTCTCTCTGATGAGTAAGTTTGGTCCTCATTTCCCCCACTCTACCCCGGGACCTTCTAGTGAGGTGCTTTTTAGAGCGGCTTATAGTGTTTGTACAAACTGGTGCTTGTGTGGTCCATTAATTAGTCTATTGGACTAATTGTTTCCATAGGTCTTTCGATTTTTCTCACTCTTTTCCCTCTTGGACGGGGAGAGATATAACCAGCTAGCTGCTCATGAGTATTCAAGGGCCCAGTGGCTTGTCAATAAAGTAGATGTAGAAAGAGCATGGTCTTGGGGGATGGAATAGACCTTGGTGAAAGGACACACCACACTCTGAAAGTGTTCCTCCTCGCCCTCTTTAGGGATCGTTGATGACAGCACAGGGGGGCTGATTTCTCACAGTCATAGGGAGAATTACGTGTGGATTCAGACTTAGACAGAGAAAATGACTTCTCAGTGGTCTGTGGGAGTAGAAAGTGTCATCTTTCTCCTTCAGATGAGCTGGTGGTTTTGAATTGCCAACCTCGAGTTTAGCAGCCCAACAGGTGACCACTGTGCCGCAAGGGCTCCACCAGGCAAGAGGAAAGGCTTGGTCTTCAGGAGAATAATTTGGCCAGATGTAAGGTGGCACAGTGGTTAAGCACCCTCACCAAGTGCAGTGCCATTTTATACTGTAGAATCACTATGGGTCAGAATCCAAACCGGTTTGGTTTGGGTTTGGGGGAGGTAAAATGCCAGAAAATCTCATTGGCAAAAGCAATTCCTTCTCTTTCCTTGGTGAGTTACCTGCTTGATACAATGCAGGCTCTTGCCATTGGATTGATGGGACTCTTTTTAATCCTGAAAAAGCCTCACTGTACCATGTTTTTCTGTCCATTAGGTCTCTCCACCACCTGGTACGACATCCTTTTCCTTGCCTGATGACTGGGATAGCAGAACCTCGTATTTGCACTCCCCCTTCTCGACCGGGCGCAGTTGTATCCCCCTCCATGGTTTGTACTTTGAGTTCCTTTGAGGGCTGGATGAGAGCAATTGATCTTGCATCTGTTTTTTTTTAAAGAGCCAGTCAGGATCTTAGAAAAAGGCCATTGTTTAATAGAGGATATGCGCTACTGTGGATGAGCCACACTGGGAAGGATTACATTGGAAGGTTTTAAATGCAAAGGAAATGGAGGGGGAAGGCTTTATGGACTTTGTTTTTAGACTAAAGGGTTCATCCCAGTACCAGCTGGTGATTAAATGCCAGCTCATGGGCTACCATGTTGCTTCATGACTTCGGAGACTCGTGGGTGATCTTGAAGGTGGTGACCCAAGTTAATCTAATACTTGGTTGTAAATGGTCGCCACGTGAGTTCTGCCCAAAGCTAACCGGGTGTCTTGAACCTGTCCCACAGTAGCAGTGTGTATCTAGTAATGACAGCTACCTGAGCCACTCCAATTGCCCTGCTGTCGACTCTCCTCTTGTCTCCGTGCATTCTAGTAAAGCCCACCAAGGCAGGTGTGTGTACACGCTCTCTTCTGCGTTACCAGCAAGGGAAGAGGGAAGGCGGTTTTGGGTTGGAGTTGATGTGTCGTGATGACTTGTTCTGGTCTTAACAGGCATTAGTCCAGAAGTGAATGAACTATTGATGGAGGCCCAGTCGCTGCAGGTGTCCCTTCCTGAAATTCAGGAGCTTTACCAGACTTTACTTGCAAAGCCAAGCCCTGCTTCACAAGCTAACCACAGCTCACCAGTCAGACCCAGCAGTGAGAAGGTAAGTGTGGGGAAGGGAAAGGCTGAAAAGGTTGCAGGGTGAGTGGGAGGGATGTTTTTAAATGCCATCCCACCTAAAGAATGGGGTGGGGTGGAAGCGTATTCTCCCACACAAGCTGCCCCTGCAGCTGACAAGGGAGGCTGAGCTGAGCAGCAAGAGCCTGGACTCTCTTGGAACCTTCTGAAGTTGTGGAGTGTTTTCCTCTTAGCAAGCTGCTTATCCTGTTTGCTCCTGTGGTTATAGTGATGATTACAGTCACAGTTTTCCTCTTCTTTGAGAGGGATACTGTAGAGAAAAAAAAACATAATCTTAAATGAGACATTGGCATTTAAAGCATGCTTTATTATAACCCCCAAACCTACTAGAACAACTGGGCACATCAACTGAGGATGCCTTGTTTGAGTACTTACGACTTACCTTGCAGCATGAGGAATAATGCCTTATTTCTCTGCGTAGTGTATATCTTCCTGCGTGTAATCTTGCTGACCTATAACATTTAAGGATCTCCAAGAAGGGCCTTGGTGGCACAGTGAACTAAGCACCATACTGTTAACCAACAAGACCGCCAGTTCAAAGCCATCACCTGCTTCGAAGGAGAAAAATGAGGCTATCTGCTTCTGTGATAATTTCTAGTCTGGGAAACCCTAGGCAGCAGTTCTGCCCTGTAGTAGTCCAATAGCATCACCAGGAGTCAAAGTGATGCATGGACCTGTTCACTGTTGGTTTTCCTTCGGTTTTAAGATGATGGTCAGGGGATTAAGCTGTTAGTATACTCAGGGAAGAGCCTTCCTGAGGACAGCTGGTGCGGACAGGGAGGATTTTAATTTTCATTATGGTTCCAACTTGTTTAAGGGAATCTCCAAAAGTTTGTGTGAAAATGGAAGTAGAAAAGCTCACTGAAGGTACCTCCTGTCTTCAGTGAATGCACCTGACTCTGGTGGGGGGTGGGGGGAGGGGGGGAACTGTATGTGAGGGGTGGTTGGCAGTGTTGTCAATCCTTAGGGACCTTTGAAGCCAAAGGATGAACATACACACTTAGGAAGAGACTGCAGAGTGGTGAAAACCAGGCTTTGGGGCCTCCTTTGTTTCGTCTGCAGTTGCTGCTTGGCTCTATGACAGCGGTTCTCAACCGATGGGTTGCGACCCCTTTGGGGGTCAAAGGACCTTTTCACAGGGTTGGCCCAATTTATAACAGTAGCAAAATGACAGTTATGAATTACAGTTACGAAAATAGTTTTGTGGTTGGGAGTCGTCACCACAACGTGGTGAACTGTATTAAAGGGTCGCGGCATTAGGAAGGTTGAGAAACACTGGTCTAGGGAGACAGCTTTACTCTGTCCTCCTCCCAGTGGACCCTCAGTGGCATTCACACTCAGGGGGAAGGAGTTAGTTCAGCTCCAACCAGGGAGTTGTGAGAGACCCTTAAAGGGTGCTGGAGGCACCTCTGCTTATGAATGAATACACGGTTCCCTCCGAAGGGACGGGTTTTGGTGAGGGCAAAGCTTTAGGCGATGCTTACTCTGCTCTCTCCCTCCCTCCCTCCCCCAGAATGATTGCTGCCGAGGGAAGCGCGATGGGATGAGCCATCTGGAGAGGAGACTGAAGAGACGCCTGGAAAGAGAGGACCTACCCAGCGACCGGTGGGATCGAATTAAAAAAATGCGGACCCCCAAAAAGAAGAAAATCAAACTGAGCCACCCCAAGGACACGAACAGTTTCAAGTTAGAGAGGGAGCATAGCTATGAATTAGCCCGTTCTGCTGAAACGCATTCCCTGCCCTCAGACACATCCTACTCGGAGCAGGAGGACTCTGGGGACGAAGATGCCATCTGCCCAGCTGTGAGCTGCCTGCAGCCAGAAGGAGATGAGGTCAGTGAGGTTTGGGCCATAGAGGACGTGCTTTCCCTTGACCCAGAAACCCTGTAAGCTAGACCTCACTTCGCCGGGTCTTTCTCTTCTGCTTGTCTGCTCTGAGCTGATCCACATGGATTGCTCAGCCCTCCCCCACTGATCTCTCTGCTCTTCCGTCCGTCGTTCTTGGGGCTCCTCCCTTTGCTCGAAGAAACTCATTCCCCCTTCTCCTTTCCGTGCTCCTCCAGCGCTCACCATCCCGGCGCTAAGACGGTGGGAGGGATGCTGATGTCCTGCCCTTTGGCTTGTCACAGGGCGACGGATGCTGTCTTAACCCTAAAGCAGTCAGGACTTGAAGAATGGCTTTGACTTGGTTGCTTGGCTGGCGGGCCAGCTTCATGCGTTTGGCGTAGCTATTGGCCAAGGTCCCAGTGGTGGGACAGTGGCTGCTAGGTGGTAATCGGCCTGAATATCTTGCGGCTGGCCTGTCCGTGTGACTCCCATTTTTCCTCTGAAAATCCCATCTCCCTGCTCTTTGTAACCAGGTGGACTGGGTCCAGTGTGATGGCAGCTGCAATCAGTGGTTTCACCAGGTCTGTGTTGGTGTTTCTCCAGAGATGGCAGAGAAGGAAGACTACATCTGTGTGCGCTGTACTGTGAAGGACGCACCAAGCCGAAAGTAAAAACCACAAACACAAACCCCCCTCCCTCTCAAAGTCATTCAGGACTCCAACCAAGACGATTCCTTCAATTGCTCAGCAAAGCGGCAGGGCTGGCCTTCACGCCAGCCTGCAAACGGTGCTATTTCTATTCCTCACGGGATCATTTTCCCAGAACTCTTTGAAAAAAAGAAAAAGGAAAAAAAAAAACAACTAAAAATTTTTTTGACACTTTTTGTATTTTTTTCCTTAAGAGCTGTTTGTGGTTGTTGAAAATTGAACTGCTGACTTTTTTTGCAGGGGTTCCCACCAGTTTGGCAGGCATTGAAGCTTTGCACCTTTCATTTGTGGCATTAAAAACCCTCACCTCGGTCTGGGGTTACAGTCCACTTCGGTGTCTGTGCCCCAGAGGCCCCAGAAGGTCCAGGAAATCCTCCCTTGAGGAGTCGTCGCCACTCTCGTTTACTCTGTCACCACATCGCGGAACTTGAGTTTTTCACTTTGGGGTTTCTGTTGGTTTCTTTCTTTATCCCTCCCTCCCCACCGGGTAGACTAGGTTTATTTATCTGAGCAATAATTCTATGTCTGGTTTCAGTGGCTGGGATTAAAAGGAAACGAAACAAACTTCCACACAGTGTGCTGGTGCTTTAGCATTTGGTTGATGTACAGACCGCAACTGTCTAGTTTCTAGTGTCACTGACGAGCTAGTGATGTCGAAAAGAGACTGCTCTGTAAGTAAAATCGCTACAGCTGTATTTTGGCTTTCTCCCTTCGGGGTGCTCCCCCCACCCCCATCCTTGCCACCCTCCCCTATTTTTTTGGTAGCTTGTATCAAATGTTGCAGTTTATATCGTGGAATAAATCCTTGGTCCTAACATCACGCTACATGCTGGTTATTTAGAGCCGTGGGACTGCAGCTGCCCGTGCCCTTCTCCGCTGGGCTGCTCAGCTCGAGGGCCTCTGCGCCACCAGGCTGCCGCGGCCACTGACAACCCCAGGACACCGCTCTGTTGGAGCCCGCTCGGTGGGTGGGCCCCAGGCCTCTGACTCCCCCTAATCAGTCACCCCCAGTCAAGCAAAGCCAGGGTGGTTTTCAGGTCATTTCCCCCGAATGTTGGCACATCATGTCCCCCTCTCCCGAGTTTTCTCTGGGAGCTACCTTGATTGTGTCTGAACTGACAGGGCAAGACGGAAAGCACAGGCTGGCCGAGATACCCCTGGACCCCAGTTCCACCTGACTGCCGGCCTCGACTCAGCAGTCACCTGGCATCACGTTGCCCAGACGCTGTCTGCCAGCCTCTTGTCTATTTAACGGGCTCTGTTCTTCTGTGCCCAGAACAGACATATTCTTGCTTGGTTGTGCTCTTCTGTTCCTAAATGTGTGCCACGCGCGCGCCCCCCCCCCCCCCCCCCCCCCCACACACACACACACACACATTCAATAGCCATAAGCCTGGAATGGGCAGAACCAGTGAATTTTTAAATAAAAAACAAGACACAACACACACACACACACACACACCCATTTTTGTGTTGTAATGGTGGTTTAAATGTATATCCTCTTTTATGCAATCCAAGTATTAAATTCTCTACAAGAACGACTCCTATTTGTCTGCAGTCTTCCCACAATTGTTCTGCTGCTTCTCCCTCTCTGGCGGGGTCTGGGGGCCAGCCAAGAAGACACAGGCTCCATCCAGGCAATCTGCGTGAATCTAAGTCAGCGTTGTCACCTGTGGGCTGCGACCCCTTCACAGGGGGGCCGCCTGGTTCTTAACAGTAGCAAAATGGCAGTGATGAAGAAAATGATTTTATATGGTTGGGTCACCACAACATGGGGAACTATATTAAGGGTTGAGGCATTGGGAAAGTTGAGAACCACTGATCTAAGTGGTTTGGCCTCTTTCCTATGCAAATTTTGGGAGACTGGTGCTCTCCCACACACCCCACCCCACCCACATACCTCATACATGGACAGAATGCCACCGATCCTTGTGCTCCTCCCCACATCTGAGAAAGCCCGGGGGGGGGGGGGGGGGCATTATCAGAAGAGAAAACACTTTGCCCATCTAGGGCACACCCCCTCCCTTTGCCCCCACAGACTTTTCCTTTTAGCTGTAGGTCACACACAGTAAGCACCTAGAAGTAGCAGGGGGGAGGAAAGGTGACCATATTTGGAATCACCCCTCCCAAAGTGCAAGCCACTTGCCGCCCATGGGCCACCTCTAAAGTTGCGGAAGATGGTTGCCCCAGTTTCTACTGGTAATTGACAAAACCTGGGCTATCACGTGTGAGTCCCACTTCTGTGGTTTCCCCGGTCTGCATACTACACAGCACTACACCCTTCTCTGAGCCCTTTGGCTGTGTACCCAGAACGAGCAGCTGCTGGCCATCTCTGATCCACGTCTCAGTGTGCATGAGCTGTGAAGCTGCCTTAGAGCTTAGTGGGAATGAAGATGCAAGAATGGACATTTCCAGTTTGCTCTCAACAGTCCTGCAGGCACATGAGGTGGGAGTGGAAGGGTCACGCTAGACCAGAACCCGAATCCCGTGGGTCAGTCATTTGAGGAACTGGGCACCAAAGGATGGCACCATTCCTTCGATACCAGACTCTAGGGCAGTGGTTCTCAACCTGTGGATCATGACCCCGTTAGGGATCAGACAACCTTTTCACAAGGGTCACTCAATTCATAGCAGTAGCAAAACTACAGCTGTGAAGTAGCAACGAAAATAATGTTATGGTTGGGGGAGGTCACCACCACATGAGGAGGAGCTGTATTCAAGGGTCATGGCGTTTTAGGAAGGTTGGGAAGCCCTGCTCTAGGGGTTGCTTGCCCAGAAAGGGGCTTGCTCAGTTACCCTAGCCTAAAGAAACCAAACACACTGCCAGAGTCAGGACAGAGTAGTATCCGAGGCTGTAAGTCTTCACAGAAGCCAACAGCATTTTCCTACAGAGGGGCTCGAACCACTGACCTCCCAGATAGCAGTCCAGCACTTAACCCACTGTAGACACCCCCACCACCCAAGCTGGAAATAATGAAGGCTGCCATCCAGGTCATCTCGGTGTGCAAAGCACATTTCTAAGATTTAACTTAAAACCGGAAGTGTACCTGTAGTGGTAAGGATTGGTTAACACCTGGATTTCCCGTAAAATGTGAAAGATAATAAGAGGCTAGGGGCCAGTGGGGAGGGAGGGGGAAAAATGAGCTGACACCAGGGGCTCAAGTGGAAAGTGGGTTTCGTAAGAATGATGAAAACATGTACTAAAGTGCTGGACACATGACGTATGTACAGATTGTGATGAAGTTGTATGAGCCCCTAATAAAATGATTATTTTTTTAAAAAAATTAGAGGCTAATTTCAGCTGTGGAGCCTGCATTTTGGCTGAGGTCTGAAATGCCCCGAGCCCTCGTGGTGTAATAGGGATTGGGTTGTGACTCTCAAGGTCAACAGTTTGAAGTCAGCTCACCTGAGGGAGATGAGCTTTTCTACTGTAAAGAGCTTGTTTCCGAAGCCCACAGGGGCAGCTCTCCTCTGCCTTAGAGAGGACTGCTGAGTCGGCACTGGCGCCCTCTCTGGTGAGGTTGGTTTGTTGGGACTAAAGTGTACCTACCTAGCCGGTCCTTACTGCCCCCGACAGGGAGCCCCCAACCCCTGGGCAACAGTGCAGATTCAACCCCGAGAAGCCGGTGGGTTCCTCCTCCGTAGGGAGGACGAGGCTCGCTCCTGCCTTTACTGCGTTCTGATGCCCCATGTCGCCCCACCGTGGCGGGTTTCTGCCTTTTCCTGTCACCAGCTGCCTTGGTGGCCTGTAAGACTTGCTTATGGCTTAAAGCTGATGGGTATTTGGTGCCCACGGTGTCTTCCCGGACTCGATCCTGCGTTGATTTTCTGCCTTCCGACACAGACTGGAGCGGATTGTGGACGCTACATACCCATAACAGGAGATGGGATTGGTCAGCAAATGTTTAACGATCCATCACTTGGCAGTTGCCGAGGGTTAAGCCAGAGCTGTCATTGACTGTAGGCTAGAGGGAGAGGAGGGGAGGGGGCGCGGTGTCAGCCAACCCATGTTCAAATGGTTTTCCTTGCCTTTACAGTGCGGACCCCCCCAGCCCCTTCTGGTAGATGTTTCCCCTGGGAAGACTAGCTGAAGAAAATGTGAGCTCATTGTCAATGTGTGTTTACTTCCACAAGAGGTCCCAGAGCACTAGGGGGACTGCACAGTTTGACTGGTGGCCACCCTCCATTCACTCAGTGCCAGCACCCACTGCTGTGTAGATGCCTGTCGGCCTCCAGAGAGGGATCTGCCTGTAACCTGCAGTAGGAACGGTACTGAAAAGCTTCCCCTGCCCCAGATGGATGACATGGCAGCGTGCATAAAAACCATACTTTTGTCAATTAGTTTTTATGATACTGATTTGTAAAGTGTATGTTTTCACTCACCTTCCAAAAGAGTCTGAAGTCAAGTTTGCTGTGTCACGCTTGCTTGGGTAGGAATGCACCTGAATCTCTATTCGTTCATATGCAGAGACCGTTGAAAGCGTTTCTTGTTGGGGTTGTGGGTCCCAGGACGAAGAGCTGGACCCTGGTGAGTTGGAGGGGTGTGTGTGTGTCACGTCTTTATTTTCAGGGTAACCTGCTGGCAGTGCTGCTGTGGACTGGAGTGGGAGGCCCTGTGGTGTGTCCCCGATGAATGCAGAGGCCAGGATGATTCCCTGGATGGGCAGAACGGCCTTTCAGAGGAAACCAAAGTTACTCGTTCTACTTAAAAACAAATACCTCCTCTGGTCCTCATGCCCTAACCCGCCCACCCCTAACGACATAACCTGATTGCACACTGGAGGGGACTGCAGGTCTGTCACCTCCTCCATGTGGTGAAGGTGGTGGGTGACCATATATTCTTGTGGGTGTGACTGGAAACAAGTAGTTGGTGGTAACAAAGGGCAGGGAATGAAAAAGGTACATGTCCTTTTGATAGAGGTATTTAATAGATAATTTAAAATCCACAAATTGGCATGGGGGTGGGGCTGGTCTGGGTGGTGGTACACAACCACAGTGCATTATCTGTGGTTTTCAGTTTGGGATTTAGAAAAGTAGGCAGTTTTACTCTGACCTAATTTGACAGCAGTTTTCTATAAGCAGCCCAAATATGATTTTCAGAAAATCTTCCGCATTCATCTCACCGGTTTATGTCACAGTCAAAACATCAGTAGTTTGGCTAGTCTATAGTTAAGAACAAACTGCTCAACAGGTAAGAACAAAAAGGAGCAGACAACAGGTGCCCAGTAGACCAAGACTGGGTGCGTTTATAGAACAGATGGGTGGAGGTGAGTTGCATAAGAAGGCGCATGTCTCAGTTGCAGGCTATTCTAAGCTCCCAGGAGATCTTAAAAAACCAAACGTCTAGTTTCTGATTTCTGAGACTGCTAAGCTATGGGAGTAGAAAGCCTCACTTTCCTTCCATGGAGCAGATGGTGGTTTTGAATTGTGGATGTACTTAGCAGTCCAAGGTATAACTATGCCAATAAAGCTCTCAGGAGATGGGTCCTGGGCCCTGGCCCCACTGGCCAGTATGGCACGTGGAGGACCTGGTCACAGACACCTCAGGGTGACTGTCCCATAGTTAAGAGAATGAAAACGCACTTGCATCGAGTCGATGCTGATGTGTCTTTCATGAGAGTAGAAAGCCTGTTTTTCAGACAGGCTGGTGGTTTTGAACTGCTGACCCTGCCGTCCATCCAATGTGTATCCACTACACCACCAGAGTTCGAATGAAAATTAAATGTAGTAGCTTCCACACCCCAGTCCCCGGGAGAGGTGAGGTTTGGGATCTGAGAACTGTAGTCGAAAGTGAGTGTGTGCTTTCCCGGGGAATCTGGT